GCTATAGTCAAAACTCCTACCATCCCGCATAATAAGCCCCATAATGGTCCCCTATGTAACACCCTGTATAGCCCGCCTTTCAGGAGTTTAGACCCTAAAACCTAATCCCTAAACCCTATACATATATATAATCTCCCCGAATAACCCCCTTTAAGGAGTCATGTAGGGCTTAAGGTTTAGGATCTTCGGGTCTGTCAAAGGTGGGAGCCACCATGGATTCCTGGCATGTGCGGCGCTCCCTACTGAGGATTCGATCGCGGGTTGAGGGCTTAGGGTAATTAGGGTTTAGGGTTTACAAAGTAATTAGGGTTTAGGGCTTAGGATAAATTTGTACAAAAGCTCTCAGCTGTGATGATCATTGTGCTGGGCTGTAAGCGACCCCTACAGGTGGTACTCTCGTACGAGCACACGTGCTATCACGAACAACGATGTTGAGTCTCAAAGCTGGGATTTGCAGGATGTCGGGTTCAGGTAGTGTTTAGGGTTTTGGGTTTAGGGTTTAGGGTGCAGGCACTCAGGGTTTAAGGAAAAATTGTAAAATTCAACCTTGACCCTGACAAGAAGATTTGGGGTCTACCTTGTCTTTCCGGACTTCTGGAGAAAAGGTTTCTGAAGGTGTAGGACTGATGTGGCCAAATTTCCATCGGGCCTTGACTTATTCAGCTTGGGGTAGTGGCCTGCGCACGAGGCTTGCTGCAGCAACCGCAGCCAACAACTGCTGCTTTAGCCGCTGAAGCAGCTGCTGTTGGGTGCGGAACTTTAGCTACTTGTGTTGAAAAATGTACGGCTTGTTGCCTAGGTTGGCCCCTAAAACCAATTGAAAAATATTAGTATAGATGGTCCCCTATTAAAGCCACTAGGGAAAATATCAAATATCCCAGGGGCCTACTGCTCAGGACTTAGGACATCTCCGCTAAGAGCCCCTTCCCTGGGAAGGCATGTGAGACACCCTGTAACCCTTACATAACCTCGAATCCTTCAACCCCACAAACCTGACGCCCTGCATGCTGGGTCGCTGTTATGGCTTTTAAATTAAGTTACTATAATAAGGTGAGTTACCATAATATGGGTATATAGCAAACAATGGGGTTTCCAAGGCCTTAACGGCAACCCAATATCAGCGTACCCTAAACTCCAGGTCGTCCTACCGTCCAGGGTTCTGGCATGTGATGGTGCCTGCGTGCTCGCTGACCAGCGCTTTCGCGGCCCGATTGCGCTGCCTGGCATGGAAATGTAGGAGCTTCCCAAAATCGACAAATTTGGGGTACCTTATGGGAGCCCCTAGCATAAGGATGAAAGCATTGTGGGGTCTATATTGGGGTCGCTCGATTTTGGGAAACTGCCATGCCTACAGGCCACGCATACCATGTATACATGAGTGTCTCAGAAGGAAGATACATTGAAGTCCATCATGGGAAGCTTATACCCTACAGCATAGGATGGCTATGCTTATCTCCGGCACATGGGGGGGGATTCTCAAAAAAGGCCGCCCTGAGGGAACCTGCAAATACATAGGAATTTTGAGATGAATGTGGTTTTGAGATACTCGCACATGATGTAGGACCTGTCTTTATGTCACTGTATTGTGTGGGCAGTGAACCGGCGGAGAATATCCTTTAAACTCCTAAACTTTGTAAATGCTGCTGCAGGAAACATGACGGTTTTTGAAGTATGCATCAGGTACACCTGCAGATTGCAGGCCTTTCTTCGGGTGCTCTTCTTGACAAGGCTCCTACGCGTTTTAACGTACAGAGTTCAAGATCAAGCGACAAGCTGAAGAACTCAAGAACAAAGCGTGCAGAAGGGTACGAACAACGCTTTGTTGCAACACCTGGTGCATCTCAGGTCTTTAACTAATCTGGGGAGCATGGGGCACAATGATTTTCACTGTCTTGGCAAAAATTTTGCCCTGCCCAATTACAAACTGCCCCAGTCATTAGCAGAGCCTTTTGTGGCAGTTTCGCTGAATAATGAATAATTGAACCATCACGTCCGTCTCTCCTGCAAAGACGACATGTCTCTCGAAACTGCCACATACAATTGATGAAGCAAATCTTGCACAAACAGGAAGGCACATAAATCCTAAACATACTGAAGCTATTAGTTCGGCGGGGCCACTTCAGCTGCAAGATTTGCTCTGGCAATGGTACTGTCACACATGAGAAATGTAGCGCTCGTGCTCAGCTTTGGGACGAGGACGCTCTGCCACAGACCTAAACCCAAAAAACTAAAAACCCTACTTACCCCAAACCATGAAAACCCTAATAACCCTTAAAACCCTAAAAACCCTAAACCCTAAAAACCCTAAACCCTAAACCCTAAAAACCCTATATGACCCCAATATAGTAGTTTCCATGTTCTTTTCCATTCTCCCTATATAAGCCCTATAGACCCATAACATGGTAACTACCCCAAAAGGACCTGTTGAACCTAGTAAGAGTATATTCCTTATGTGAAAAACTATACCCCAAAAGGAGGATATAATCTTACTCTATAGTGGGTACCATAGTATCCCCAAATTAAACCCTAAACCCCTAAACCCCTAAGCCCTAAACCCCTAAACCCCTAAACCCTAAACCCCTAAACCCTGAACCCTAAGTACCATAGTAAATACTACCCCAAAAGGACCTGGGACCTACTCAGTTGCTGCAAGGCCAGAGCTCTTGGCAAGAGCCACGGCGCGTACGGTGTTCCTGCCAAGCTGTTGCTGTTTCAGGTGGGATTAGGGTTTAGGGTTTGGGGGTTTACGGTTTAGGGTTTAGGGTTTAAGGGTTTAGGGTTTAGGGGTTTAGGGTTTAGAGTTGGGTTAGGAGGACCCCCCCACCCTGTAATAGCGGGAAAATAGGAGTTTAAGAGGACCCTG